GGTTACTGTGAGCCAGCGCGACAGCCACGGCCTCACTCATAGCACTGGGCACAAAGTGAGACTCTGTCTCAAACGGCAAGACTCATGCCATCAGATACTACTACCCATTATCCATCTACCTTGTTGTAGTAATCTACTGACTTCCAGGCCAATTCCCCTTATTCTTAATTCACTCTCTCTCTCCAACAAAAATCCCACCACAAATTTTGGTAATTTTAATATTCAGAGAGATGACCCTTCCAATACCCTGCCCTCTCTGCTTCTTGACCTCTTATCCAACAAAAATCACATATTCTCATTCAGAAAAATCATTTCAGAAACTTATTTCAGAAACTAATTCCCAGTGGGGCGCAGTGGCTCATGTTTATTACCCAACACTTTGTGAGGCCAAGGCAGGACTGCTTGAAGCCAAGAGTTTAAGACCAGGCCGTGGCTGTAGCAGACCTCGGGTTGGCTCCTACAAAAAGAGAAAAAATAGCCAGCCGTTGTTGGTGGCAGTGCCTGTAGTCCCAGCTATCTGGGAGCACTGGAAGGTAAGGATTTGCTTGCGGAGCCCAGGAGTTTGAAAGTTTATGTGAATTAGGATGGCACCCACTGCCATTTCGCAGTCTGGGTTACAGCAGTGAGGAAGCCCCATCTACCAAAACATAACAAACAGCCGGGCGCTGCGCTCACGCCGGTCAATCCTAGCTCTCTGGGACGGGCCGGAGTGCGGGCGGGATGTCAACTGGGTCACAGGAGTATCAAAACCAGCCTGAGCAACTTTGACGCAGCCCGAGAGACCCCGTCTGTCGTCTTATAGAAATAGAAAGAAATTGAACATTGGCCGCAACTGATATGTATATAAAAAAAATTGGCCCGGGCATAGTGAGCGCATGCCTTGTGTCAGTCCCAGGCTACTCGGAGGCTGAGGCAGGGGAAGCGAAGGATCCACTGGAGCCAGGCAGTTTTGAGGGGGTTGCTGTGAGTAAGGTGACGCCATGGCACTCGAACTCTGAGCCTGGACAACAAAGCGAGGGCCTCTGTCTGCAAAAAAAAAAAAAAAAAAAAAAAAAAAAAAAACAAAAAACAAACAAACAAAAAAAGAAACTCATTCCCCATGATAATATGACCTTGTTATTACTAGGCTCTAAAAATTCTTCAGCTCTATCAGGGATCAGGACCTATAATCCATTAACCCCGTCACATGTTTCTTCAACACATTTATATCCATATTTCCCCCTTTATGCAGCTTAAAATCTATGGCCCACCATTATATTTACAATTCATATACACCTTCAATACCCTACCTAGATTCTTTCTTCAACATAACTCACTAGGCAAAACCTCAGCTCTGGTTAAATCCTGCTTTCCCATAATTCAGGCCTGGACTTATGCAGCTGAATGTGATCAAAGAAATCATACCACCATACTGGCTGGTCTAAGCTCAAAGGTAATGCTCAAAAATCATACTGCATTTCCTCAATCCATTCACTCTCTCATTCTTCTAGGTTACAATTTTATACCTTCCCTTTTATCTTCAACAACTCCTCCCTCATCTTCACTCTCAGTTGATGACCTTGTTTTCCTATTTCACTAAGAAAATAGAAATACTCAAGAGACTTTCTACAAGATACAACTACATCTACCTACCTACTTGCATTTATTAATACCTTCTGTCTTTTGTCCTATTGCTACAGATGAACCATCTGTAGTACCTAAGACTAGTTTTTCTATTTGTCTAAAGCACTTTTTTCAATTCCTTTCCTCTAATTTTCTTCTCTTCTTTTAAATAGCTTTATTGAGATATAATTCACATACAATATAATTCACCCATTTTATTTTTACAATTCAATTTTTTTCAGTAACACCCTTTCTACCTTACAATTTTTTTTTTAGTATATTCATAGGACTATGAAGCTATCATCACGATCTAATTATAGAACATTTTTGTCCTCCCTAAAGGAAAACCTGTACCCCTTAGCAGTCAATCCCCATTTCCCTCCATCTTCTCCCCAGCCCTAAGAAACCACTAATCTACTTTGTGTCCCTATAAATTTGCCTTTTCTGGGCATTTCGTATAAACGTAATCATATATGTGGTCTTTTGTGAGTTGGCTTCTTTTCCTCAGCATACCATTTTTAAGGTTCACCCTTGTAATAGCATATATCATCAGTACTTCATTCCTTTTATGGCTGAATAATATTCTACTGTACAGATATACTACAATTGTTTATCCACTCACCAGTTGACAGCTATTTGGGTTCTTTCCATTTTTTGAGTATTATGAATAATACTGCTATAAATATTCTTATACAAGTTTTTGTGTGGACATATGTTTTTACTTCTCTTGGGTAAATACCTAGGAGTGAAATTTCAGGGTCATATGGTAATTTTGTTTAACTTTTTAAGGAAATACCAAACTGTTTCCCAAAATGGCTGCATTATTTTACATTCCGACTGGCTATGTATGAGAGTTTCCAATTTTTGTTTGTCTCCAGTCAGATTTTTATCCCATGCACTTGTCAAGGTTACCAATGACTTCCTTATGGCTAAATCAATGGCCAATTTTCAGTTTTCATCTTCCTTGACCTATTAGCAGCATTTGATTCGGCTAATCTCTCCCCCTCTTCCTTGAATCACTCCTTCATTTGGATTCTAGGAAATCATGGTCTCCTATTTTTCCTCTATCTGGCTGAGCACACCCATTCTTCCTCCTTCACCAACTTCTAATCACTGGCATGTCCAGGACTAAGTTCACTGACCTTGTCCCTTTTCTATCTAATATTCATTCCCTTCATGATCTTATCCCGTCTAACTACCATTTATATATTGTCTGAAAATATGTATTTACAAACTAGATCTGCACTGTCAAATATAGTTGCTAGTAGCAACATGTGGCTAAAGAAATTTAAATTAATTTAAATTACATAAAATTAAAAATTCAGTCCCTTGGTCACATTAGCTACATTTTAAGAGCCCGAGGGCCATATGTGGCTACTAAACTGGGCAGCACAGATATAGAACATTTTTATCATCGCAGAAATTTCTACTGTACAGAGCATATCTAGACCTCTCCTCTGAACTCTAGATTTATATATCCAATTGCTTTCCTGATATTTCTACTTCAATGTCAATAAACATCTCAAAATCAAAATTATGATACTCTTCCATAAGCCTGCTCCTTCCATTTTTTCCTATTTCAGTTGATGGTACCTCCATCCTTCCAGTTGTATATGCCCCAAACCATGGGGTAACCCTTGACTCTACTTTCATTTCACATCCAATTGATCAGCAAATCCTGTCAACTTTATATCCAGAATCTGACCACTTCTTATAACCTCCATGTCTCTTACCTTGTTTGAAGCCACCATTATCTTTTGCTAGTTGTAATCACTTCCTAACTGGTCTCCCTGTTTCTGTCCTTACTGGCCTAAGGTCTATTTTTAACATAACAACTAGAGAATTCTTGTGAAAGTCAAATCATGCCAGTCCTCTGTTCAAAACCCTCTAATGGCTTCCCAGCTCACCCACAGCAAGTCGCAGTCTATGTAACAACCTACAGAGTACCATATGACTTAACTCTCTAATCTCATCTCCTATTACCTCCCTTTAGTACACTCCTTGGTAGTTATACTGGCTATTCCTCAAAAGCACCAAGCGTATTTCAGCTTTCCCCATAAAATATAATTTAGGAATCACGAGTTTAAGCTAGACTAAGCTAGACTAAAAGAGGGATAAAAAAGAAAGTTTATTTACAGATACCTAGGTATTCAGAGTAACCTATCCTTAACTATGAGGTCCCTATCCAGTGAATGGGGATTAAAATAATATGAATTACATAAATAAAGGGATCTTCCAAAAGCTGTAATCCCAATTATTTCAATTAAGTCTATATTTCCTTACAAACAGCTAGCTAGTTTTCTGCAAGGACAGAGACAAACTAATCAGTTGACAAGATTTTTGGGGGGTAATAAAAAGTTAATTACTAAAAAAATGATAAGAATATAGATTAAAGGATGGGCATGGTGGCTCACGTCCATAATCTAACACTTTGGGAGGCCAAGGCAGGAAGATTGCTTGAGGCCAGGAGTTTGAGATCAGGCTGAGTAAGAGTGAGACCCTGTCTCTGCCAAAAAATAGAAAAACTATCTGGGTGGGCATGGTGGTGCATGCCTGTAGTCCTAGCTACTTGGGAGGCTGAGCCAGTCATTTGAGCCCAGGAGTTTGAGTTTGCAGTGATCTATGATGATGTCACTGCACTTTAGCCTGGGTGATAGCGTGAGACCCTGTCTCAAAAAAAAAAAAAAAAAAAAAAAAAAAAGACTATAGGTTAAGATTTCTGATTTGGTAATAGTATAAATATATAAATTGTAAAATTGTAAAAGACCACAGCGTGATGTACAACTGTCTGCTCTCTAAATTCAACTCAATGTAGCCAGTCTAAAAATCGTATTACTGGTCTGTTTTGAAATAAGAAGCTTGTGCAAAAATGCAATTCAATACAATGCTTCCTTCATCAAGAAAACCTTGCTATGAAAAAAGTTTCAGATGAACTAAACTGTGCTTACTAACGTAAATGCTTTACATCCTAGTACATGCTCCTATCTCACTACAGACTGGCAACATTTCACAGATTAGCATAGGTCCATGAATCATACTTTGGGTAGCAATGCTCTAAATCACCTCTTTTGTCTTTGAGTCTACCCAGTATTTTTGAAATCCTTCTACATGCAATATCAGAGATTCTGAGCCATCTCCCATTCTACAATTTATTGGAATATGTATCTTGTTTTCTAGATGTCACCCAGTTCCCTTATTTATATTACAGAATTTTATTATTGGTAAGACTATAACATTCAAGAACATACTGATAAAAAATTATTAATTAACAGATTCTATAATTTAAAAATAGATTACTTAATAGCACTTCAGAAAGGTGAGACTGGGTAATACATTAGCTTTGAAAACTTTGTTTTATTTTGAAAGAGATATACAATTATCCACTTTTCAACACTAACCTAAATATTCCATCAGCTGCTCAGCAGTTATGATCTCCATCATCGGTGGAAGTTTCACCTGAAAAACAAAGTATTATTTCTATAAAATCAAATGTTTTAGGTGATTAAAGTGTTTCTTACAGGTGGGAACACAAGTATTTATGTGTATATATCTAATATATGTATATATTTATATACACACGTTAACATTTACATTTATTGGAATCTTTATAATTAATCTTTATAAATACAGAAAACCAATCCTATCACCATAAAATTTATGTGATTTTACTGGGTGATGTAAGGTCTTAAAGAGACATTGAGAAATCTGTTTTCCATGCCAAATGTTGTACCTTTCATCACCTGCCATAATTGTCATCATGTACCTGCAACAGTGTGTTGCATGGTAGAAATGTGTTTAAAGGGCAAGAAAAGGCACCAATCATGTGACAGGTCACCCATGGAGCAATTTTATTGAAGACAAGTTTGAACACAGCTCAATATCCCATTACTTCAGTCCACTTTGGCCACTTTTATTGTTGAATGGCTAAAATGAATGCAGTATGAAAGTATTAGCACACACTGAAGAATTTATACTGCATGATTCTATTTATAATGCACAGTTTAAAAACAGACAAAATTAAACTATATTGTTTAGAGCTATAAACTTAGGTGATAAAACTAAAAAGAAATGAATACTGTAAAAATCAGGATTATGACTACTTCTAAGGGTAAAGGGAAGGAGTTATAATTGGAGAGGGTCATATATAAAGGGTTTCTGGGGTGCTAGCAATACTCTGTATCTTGACCTGCTATGGTAGTTCCACTGATGTTTGCTTTACAACAACTTGTTAAACTGAACATCTGTGTTTTTTATATTTTTTATTTTGCAACAGAGTCTCGCTTTGTTGCCTGGACTAGAGTGCAGTGATGTCATGAGACCTCACTGAAACCTCAAACTCCTTGGCTCGGACAATCTTACTGCCTCAGCTTCCTGAGTAGCTGGGACTGCAGGTGCTTGCCACCATACCCTGCCTGAACATCTGTTTCATGTACTTTTCTGTATATGTTATATTTCACAATAAAAAGGTTAAAAGTAAATAAATGCATTATAGTCATATTTAAGCTGAAAACCCCAGAAAATTCATTAAAACTTATTCAACTGCAACAACACATTAGTCTAAATTGATTTTTCAAATGAATTGTCAGATGAGTCACACAGATATTACTGCCAATAACTGTATATATTTTAATTGACATTCACAAGCATACTCTGTGGTATATTTATAGAATTGAAGAAAAATAAATATTGTAGGAAATTCAAAGAAAATAATTAGTATATCAATAATAGAAGAAGAATTGAAAATTCTTCAGGAATTATTTTCTGTTTAACCAAGGAAATCACTTAAATCATCAATTTCTTCAACAATATCCCCTTTTGAAGAAGATGCTCTAGGTGTTTGTGTTATCAAATGTGATAATGGCATGTCAAAATTTTTTTGTTTTAATCAATGAGTAATTTTTTTTTTGAAGACAGAGTCTCACTTTGTTGTCCAGGCTAGAGTGAGTGCCATGGCGTCAGCCTAGCTCACAGCAACCTCAAATTCCTGGGCTCAAGCAATCCTGCTGCCTCAGCCTCCCAAGTAGCTGGGACTACAGGCATGCACCACCATGCCAAGCTAATTTTTTCTATATATATTAGTTGGCCAATTAATTTCTTTCTATTTATAGTAGAGATGGGGTCTTGCTCTTGCTCAGGCTGGTTTTGAACTCCTGACCTCGACCTCCCAGAGTGCTAGGATTACCGACGTCAGCCACCATGCCCAGCCTCAATGAGTAACTTCTAAAAAGATCCCTGTAAAACAGAATAGTTTGAGACCTTCTGTAAGCATACATTATAGTTGATGCTTATGATTTAGTCGTCCAGTAGACTTATCACTCAGTAAAATCCAAGAGATGTCTTAGAGATTTTGATCATTACTTCATTCTAAATTATTTTTATTCTCTGTGACATTTTTAAAATTTAATAGACTTTTTTTTCTGTATGTTTACAGAAAAATTGAACAGAAAGGACAGAGAGATCCTATATACAGTATTTTTAAATCAAAATTCATTAGTAAATTATGATCTACTGCCTGTTTTTCGAAATAAAGTTTTTTGGAACACAGTCACTTTGATTTGTTTATCTTTGGCTGCTTTTGTACTACAATGACAGAGTTGAATCTCTGCAATAGAGATGGCATGGCATGCAAAAGCCTAAAATATTTACTATCTGGTCCTTTATGGAAAAAGTTTGCTGATCTCTGCGTTAGATGATTTTAACTATTATTATATAATATTCTATCAAGGTGCTTCAATACCACTTTTGAAGGTCTGATATTTAAATCAGGCAAGTTTATAGTCTAAAAACTGACCTTTCAGTTTCAGACCAACCTGAAAGTTTCATTTACACCCCCAAATGATTTTTAAATTAAGACCTATACATTCTATAATTCAACAGATTCACAAAGAAATGTATTCACTACAAAATTTCACTAAATAGCTTACCCTCTCCTTTAGTTACTGTGGTCATCCTACTATAAAGCTGTCAAAATAAGAAACCAAGGCTCTAACAAGTATATGAATTTGGGGTATACATTGTACAATCCCAGATAGCTACAAACAGATGATTTCAGGGTTTAATCTTGAAATTTTCAAATAGCAACTGCCTGCCATGTCTTACTTCAAACATTTGAAATGGGAAATGGCAACCTCTATACTGATTTTAGAAGTGGGACAACAAGTACACAAACATTTTAACTCACTTATTCACAAGCATACTCAGTGGTATATTTATTTCCTGACTCCTACACAGTAAAATACTTTGGATATTTATTAAAACCAGGGACAAAAGAGTGTAATAATGAGGAATCGCAGCAGGGTGGATATGGTGGCTCACACCTGGTAATCACAGTACTTTGGGAAGCTGAGGCTGGAGGACTGCTTAAGGCCAGGAGTTCCAGACCAGCCTGGGCAACAAAAAATAAAAAAATTAACCTGGTATGGTAGTACATGCCTGTAGTCCTAACTACTCTGGAGGCTGAGACAGGAGGATTGCCTAAACCCAGGAGTTTGAGGCTGTATTGAGTTCTCCAGTGAACTATGACTGTGCTACTGCATTCCAGCAGCCTGGTCAACAAAGCAAGACCCTGTCTCTTGGGAAAAAAAAAAGTGATGGCTGGGTGCGGTGGCTCACGCCTATAATCCTAGCACTCTGGGAGGCCTAGGCGGGTGGATTGCTCCAGGTCAGGAGTTTGAAACCAGCACTGATCAAGAGCGAGACCCCGTCTCTACTATAAATAGAAAGAAATTAATTGGCCAACTAATATATATATAAAAAATTAGCTGGGCATGGTGGCGCATGCCTGTAGTCCCAGCTACTCGAGAGGCTGAGGCAGCAGGATTGCTTGAGCCCAGGAGTTTGAGGTTGCTTTGTGGCTAGCTGACGCCACGGCACTCACTCTAGCCTGGGCAACAAAGCGAGACTCTGTCTCAAAAAAAAAAAAAAAGTGAAGAAATGCCTACCTCACACTAATTCTTTGGAGCCTTCGATAGATCTCAATTATTTTTATAACCACAAAATGAAGATCTTCCTGAAAGTCTGCTTTCCTTTTTGCTTTTGGCTACCACCATAGCCTCCAAATCAAGTGCTAAGGGTTTTGTTAATGACTTAAGATTTGTACTCCTTTGTCTTTTTAGATTTTATTAAAGAAGAAACAGGTTATGGGATAGCTAGCTAAAAATACAGAATTAACAATTGTGGCAGTCTGTCTGAATCTCTAAATTTTAACTTTTACAATGAAAAAAGTAAATCAAGTATGACCTTTTTTAGTAATAGTCTATAACATATTGTTCATAAATAAATAAGTACTGCAATATACATAAGGATACTTGGAAGGTACTCTCTTTAGTAAACAGTCTTCCTAAAATTTGGGCAAAGCTTCTCAGCATACATTAACATATAGCTCCAAATTAAAGGAAGTCAAATAAAATAAGTTTTTATTATCTAGGAAAATAAATAATGTCCTATTCTACAAATAAGATTTTATTGTATTAACTAGATTTCCTGAGGAAATTATTAATATAAGCATAATAAGAATATTTAAATTAATAAAAGAAAATAGCTACTCCAACTCTAAATATTCCACTATAAGGTAAAAACCTCATTAATTTCACCTAATTATTCTATAATTCTTAATCATTAAATGATGAAGTTGAGCCAGGTATCGTGGCATGCACCTGTAGTCTCAGCTACTCAAGGAGGCTGAAGCAGAATTGCTAGAGCCCAGGAGTTCAAGGCCAGCCTGGGCAATATAGTGAGACCTCACTTCTAAATAAAACCAAAAAAAAGAGTATATTTGAGGAGAAACTTAAGTAAGGCCCAAAATAAAAGCAACAATACTTTCTGTTTAAAGTATTAATAAAATCTTGTAACAGAAATGTAAAACATCCTAAAAGTGATAATGCTAAGATTTTGATATTCCAAGGGGGAAGGTAAATGCAGAGGACTTAGCAATAACTAAGAAATAAGACTGGTCTGAAGGTAGTGAGTTATCTCGATTGTTCCCAGTCAGTTACAGATTGAACTCTTTGTTCTACCCTTTTCTCTCTTCTAACTACTGTACTTGACAAGTCTTAAGAATAAGAAAGGAAAGAAGAAAAAAGCAACAGCTTATATAGGTGATGGCAAATGGTAAAATGACTGAATAATGTTAAATGCTTTATTAGAATATCAATTAATAAGTACATAATAGACACACAGCTTGAATTCCAACACCTCTTTAAAGTTGGTGAGATACTTGAAGAAATATCAAGATGAGTATTTGCTAGTCTCTCTGCTCTTTAGGAAAGGGAAGTCAGGAAAAAAAATTATAAGGTTTTTTAAATTTTGTTTTGCTTTGTTTTTTAGAGAGATGAGGTCTTGCAATATTGCCCAGGCTGGCCTCAAACTCCAGGCCACAAGCAATCCACCTGTCTCAGTCTCCCAGAGTGCTAGGATTATAGGTGTGAGCCATGCCTAGCCAAGCAAAAATTTTTAAA